AATATTTATAACAGATTCAATAAATATTTGTATTGAAAAAATAGTTTTTGTCATGGCCATATTGGTTTTTTGTTATTGGACATAATAATGTTGTTATTTCTAATATAAGTGTTGTTATTTGCAAGGAACAAAGAACCGGACCAGATACTAAACTGGTTGAGATAGTAGTTTAATAGTCAGTTGGTCAGATCGGGGTGAACTTAAGGTCAAACTGTTCATAGTAAAGTAATATAATTTAACTAAAAATAACAAAATATAGCAACATTAACAATTACTAATAACAAAATATAAAAAGATATAACAATAGTTTGATTGTAATAATAACAAAGTATAGCAACATTGAGAAGTCTTTATGATTCATCAATAACTAAAATTAATAATTATTGATACCAAAATTATCATTAAAATTCATTCGAATCTATAATGATTAAGATATTAAGAGCTAAGTGAGGAAAAATAAGATCAATAGCAACATAATGATCTAAACGGGTTCAGCACTAATTCATATCGGTCTTTACCGATTTTCACTAGTTCACCCCCGATTTGATGGGTTCGATACCAATTCAACTTCTGCCTAGTTTAACAACCAAACTAGACTAGACTACTAGCTAGTTCACTGGTTTTTTGGTTGAATCGGCCATTTTGCTTTCTTTTTTTCCCTTGGTTATTAATACTATGTTCATACGACAATATGAAAATCAGATGGTGTTTTGACAATATTGGTATTTTGTTAATAGTCATAACAATATTGTTACTTTCTATTTAACAGTGGTTAATGGTTATATATTAGTGACAATATTGATGTGTAACTTTTTCCTTCGTTCAAAAAAAGTGTTTTTAATGTCTATTTTATACTTGTAATTTTACATTTAGAACTTATTATTCTCAGGTGAATTGTGAAAATAATGTCATTTTTAGTATTAAAAAATATTATTGGTATTCTCAATTTCAAACATGTGATTTTACAATAAAGACTTGTTATTCCCAAGTCAATTGTGGAAACAATGTCATTTTTTGTATTAAAAAGCAAAATCGATAATCTCCGTTTGTATTGTTGAACACCCAAGAGGAGTTGATTTGGGTATAATTTAAAATGAAAAACATTTTTATTAGACAGTAAAAATCATAGGAAACTCTAATTATAAAAACAATGAACAACAAAAGCTTAAACAAAGTTGTAAAAATGATTTGCTAGAAATATAAAGAGATAAGGGATGAGAAAATGTAAATAGTAATTTCTCCTAGTTCAGTCTCTCCATAGATCTATGTCCAATCCCTAGAACACCTCTGAGATTTTAATCTACTATATTCTTCAAGTTTAACATGGGTACTTCAGGACCACTACGGATCCCTCAAGTTTCACTGCTACTTGAAAACCTTTCAATTACATCAACAACTGAAGCAACACCTCTACACCAGAGGCAATTCTTTACCCTTACAACATATAAGATTTACAATCATCTTCTCTCATAGAAGGGATAGATCACTTAAGCACATCTAGAAATTCTATTCTCACTCACAATTAAATGTGCATAATTTTTGAAGTATAGGAAGGCAGTATCGACTTGGACCTCTGAATATGTTGGATTTAGACTATCAACATCTTGGCTTTATACTCTCTAGCTCCAGCACTTCTTCTGTTCTGAATCTAGATGATGTTGGGCATTTGACTGATGAGCTTTTGTTTTTCTTGTTGAGCTTTTTCTCTTTCCCGTTGTGCTTTTCTTCTTTCCATTGAAAATATCACTGTTAGAATTTTAATGCTCTTGAATGTTGTATACCCATTAGGCTTCAATCTTCATCTAATTTCCTACCAAATATGTTATTAGATGTTCTAATACACTTTTAATGATGTTTGACACATATAAGAGAAGTTCTGACTTGATTTCAAGCTCATAAGAATATTCCACAATAATGACGTTGAGCTTTTGAAGCCTTAACTCTAATCTGACTTGGATAGGATTAGAGTCAATTTGACTTACAACATATCTTCAGTGGAGTCAACCAAAGAATATATATCATGAAAAGATTAGTTTGACTTGATTAGAGCCAAATTTGACTTGTAATATATAGTCTGTTTGGTGAATCAAGTTTTCTTTTAGAATAGAGGGAGTCCGTATAATTAAAAAAATCAAAGAAAAGTTAGAATATTTTACTCAACTAAATATGATATTTTACAAAACTAATATACATGTTATAAATATATATAAATTAATTATTTAATTCTTAATATTTTAGTATTCCAAACTTTTTATTGTCTGGAGGAGATGGAAAGGAAATTTTGAGAGATTAATATCTCCACGTGGTTAATTAATGCCCACAACTTGGTCTCTTGACTTATTGATGAAAGTTGACGCGTGTGTACTTTATCATCCTTGGTTTCTTTTTTGCCTGAGTATTTTATCATCGTTGGTTAACTAAGCGTTTGTTAATACATTATGAACTTTTATTAGCACTACCTCCAGTTTTTATTGTATGCTCCAATTAACTAATTTATAAATAATGAAATTTTAGTTAAAATTAATTAAAAGCAAAATAGGTTAGAATAGAAATATACTTAAATTAATTAAAATTAGTTAGAAGCAAAAAAAAATTAGCATAGAAATATGTTTTTATAACACATTAAATTTTAAGATAAATCCAAATTGAAACTTATAATATGTGCCCGCCCTTCCCTCCATTTAAAAGTTATAAATAAAACCCAAATGAGTACTTGATCATTTTAATTTTTCCGTATTTTTAAAGGAAAACCTCCTATTTCTCTTGATGCTTATTGTATCCTGGAGAGATGGAACAAAAAATTAACATTCGCGAGAAAGTGTTTCCATGCGATTATAGTGTTCGTAATGACCTCTAGAGTAAAGAGAGTTCCATGAGAAAATCATTGGAAGCTTTTTTGGGCGGTGGGTAACGATTTTTCTATTAAAAAGAATTTTATTTGGCATAATATCGGATACTAAATATAAGTAATTTTCAAAATAAATATTCAAACAATAATTTGGTCAAGGTTGTGAGAGGTAAGCCTTTTTAACTAAACCTAACTCCTATTAGCAAATCATTCCAAACTTTTGCTAACCCATAAGCTGTTCACGGATCAGGCTATAGGACCAATAAGTGTTACTAGCGGTCCAAGGATGGGGAAAAGCATGAGGAGGCAAGCCAACTCCGAAAGCTTCACATGCCAAACCATTAAATGAAGCAAGCTAAAGAATCACAATTAGTCATGACTATGGCCGAGCAGCAGGGGAGGCAGAAATTACTAATATGAAATCACAAACTTAATATGTTTGGTACGGGGAAATGATGGGGAGTAGATAGAAAAATTTTAATGGACTCGATTTGAAAAAAATAAAAAAATGAAATATATAAATTTTTAATAAAGATAAAATATAAGATAAAAGAATAAGAAAAATTAATTAAAAGCTCTTAAATCTAATTCTTCAATTTCTTAAAATCAAACTTATTAAAATTTTCTCTCTGCTCTCCTTGAGTTCTCTCATAACAAATAGACCCAACTAAAAGTTTATAAAACATTGGAGAGAAGGATGTAGGGAATTTGACATAGATGTGTATTGAAAATTAAAACAAACAAGAAAATAGGAAATCTAAAGGATGTTTATTTTTATAATTTAGGCCCTTTGATTTTGGCATCTCATTGTTTACTTGACTGGGGATCTTAATAATCCAAAATAATATGACATATATGGAGATTATTATCTCACTCAAAATCCCAATCTTCAAAGGACAATCCTTAAAAGGTCTTTGACTCTTTATTATTATATTTTCCTCTCCTTTTTTATGTTTTTATTTATTTTTAATTGTTAATATATTATTTATTTAAATTACTTGGACAAAATGCGATGTTCCCAATAATAGTGGTGATATTAAAATCATTTAAACTCTTTAAACTTAATCATAAGGCTAAGGTATATGTTTAGTTCTTTAATTTTACATCAAATTTTAGTACTTTTAGTTTTTTTTTTTGGGGCAAATTTGTACTTTTAGTTTAAAAAGTGTATTTTAGTCTCTCAAATATTGATATATTAATTTTTAATTGAAAATATGTAAATTAACAAATAATTAAAATAAGACCTTACTTTTATTAACAATTTTTATGCAGTTTATATAATTATGAAATAAACAAATTTTCCTTAATTTTCCATTAACAAATACCTAATTAATCTTAAAAATTTATATTGAGACATTTGAAAAATTATAATTATTTTAACAATTAATGTTTTTATTAGCTTTTATACCTAGTCCAATGTCATAATTCAGAAAGTTGATCTTACAAAATAAAAAGTTACAATTTAAAATATTTTTTAAATTATTATTTTCATAAAAATTTAAGAGCAAATCCTGTAAAACCATGTTAAAAAATTCATCCATAGGAAATAATATTGTTTGATGGCACTTTAATTAGGTTTGTACATATTTTAAACTAAAAATTAGTTAGCATTTAAATGCTCATCCTTTTAAAATCACTGAGTCAACATTTTTTGTTAGTTAACTTAATGGTGCAAAGTTTAAGAGGCTAAAAATATTCTTTTTAAATTTGAATGATTAAACTGAAATTTGATGTAAATTATAAAAAACCAAACGCATATTTTAACATAATTATAAGTATTTGAGTTGCAAAAAACAACTTAAAAATTAGCTGGGACCTTAGGAAAAAACCCTAAATTAATATTGAGTAATAATAACAAAAAAATAAACTTTTTTTTTTTTTAAAGTTTGTGCCTCCCAAAGATAGCCAAAGTTTGAGGACACACACACACAAAAGAAAGTTTGATTTTTCCCTCCTTATAAACAATTATTTCTTTAATATTGTTATAATAACTTGACGTTATATTAACGTCAAGAAAGTAGAATCTATACCTAACAAGCTCTCATGACATGAGTTCCTCTCTCTCTATAAAAAGGGAGCCACAAGGCTTGCTCTTGTCATCCCCACAAAGTGATTATGGCATTGCCATCTTCAGTTAGGGTCTGGAATGTGTTGTCTCTCATTTTAGGTCTTAGATATGGTTTCTTTCATATTGAAGCTTCTCACCATTCTTACCAAAATATTCATGAAACTCCCTCTCTGTTCTCCATCAATCAACCTTACAGAACTAGCTTTCATTTCCAACCTCACCACAATTGGATGAACGGTTCTTACTTCATTTACCTTCTCTTTTAGTACTCTAGGTTTAGATCTCGGGGCAATCTTTCTCTTTACATCGGTTGTGATGGAGATGGTGTAGAAAGCGCAATTCCTGACTTTTTACACCGGTTGCACATGACAACCGGTATAAAAAGTGAAGATGATTTTTTGTATTGGCAATATTTTCTACATCATTTTACAATAACCGGCATAAAATAATACCTTTTTATGTAGGTTTAATAGCCAATGTAAAAAGTTCAGGACTTTCTACACTGGCTATATCTATATTGATTTCCAAGGTTGGAAGTTGCTTCACAACTTATAAATGGAGGGACGCCCATATGGCCAAAAAAACAAGAAAGAAAGAAAATGAAATTTGTGATGGAAATTCATGACAAAAAGCAAGAAATATTTATAATATTTTTTGTTGCAAAATATATTGCAAAAATTTTGGGATAGAATTTTTTTCATCACAAATTTTGTTCTGTATTTTCATTGTAGTGAGTATATGTACTGATGCCTCGTTCTTTTTTATCTTTCAAAATTTGTTTCATTCTGTGATTTCTAACCTTTGTTACTTTTTTATTTTGTCCTTTGTTTGCAGATCCTAATGGTTAGTACTTCGCTGATCTCTCCTTAATATTTGTTCCGATTAATTTTATTTTTTATTGCTTCATTTGAACTATGAATTTGACTCACACTCTACCTTACTCTTAGTTCGGTTCAGTTAACTTCTTTTTTATAAAAAAATATATTATTACATGAGGTGCGGTTAGACAAATAAATAAGTAACATTCAATTTTGTTGTTTGCTTGCTTGCTGGTTTGTTTCTTATTTTTATGCTCTCAATCTTTTTGTCCCATGCATGGATACAGTAAATTCAAGAAAGTTGGAAGCCAACAGCCCAACAGAATAAATATATATATGTATGTGTCTATATATATAGAGAGAGAGAGAGATAGAGAGAGAGAAACTTAATGTTTACATACAGCAATAAGACGACGGATCCAGTTTCCCTGGATATCCTTGATAACTTGGTTTTTGACATGTATTAATTTAATCAAGCTAATATAATTTTTGATCATTTAAGTTTGCTCCCATTTTGATTTTGATTTCTCAAGTTTGAAATTATAGATTTTGGTCTTTTAAGTCTTATTTTATTTAAAATATTAGTCTCTATAATCCAATAAAAACTTGGACCATTTTGTAACTTGAGGGATCAAAACTTTAGTTTGAAACTTGAAAGATGAAAACCAAAATAAAGACAAACTTAAAGGATCAAAAATCAAATTAACCCAATTTAATTTAGATGATCCAAATTAAATATTTTTAGTTTTAACTTAAATTACAAGTTTTTTTTGTAATTGAAGTTAAAAAAACTTAAATTACAACTTTTTTTTAATAAATTGATAGTTACTGAAATTTGATAAAAAATTATAGTACCTTTAGTTCTTAATATAAAAAACTAATTAGATATTCAATTTGACCATAAATATAAGACTCATATCTACTCTGTCTTCAATATTCATTCATTTTGTATAATAATTACACAATCTACCTTTAGAAAAGACAAGACTTTTTTATTATAAATAGTTTACTTCACTAAATTTTTTTAATATTTATAAATCAGTTATCTAATTCTTTTAGAAATAGTTAAATTTTATCTATCCGACCAGAGAATTAATGTGTGCGCTGTGCGGATGCAGGACCAATGAGATATAAGGGTGTGTACCACATGTTCTACCAGCACAACCCAAAAGGAGCTACGTGGGGCAACATAGCGTGGGGCCACTCTGTGTCGCATGATCTCGTGAATTGGGTTCCACTGCCACTTGCTCTATCCCCAACCAAATCTTATGACATCAATGGTTGCTGGTCTGGTTCTGCCACTTTGCTCCATGGACACAAGCCAGTCTTACTCTACACTGGCCTTGGCCCTAACCAAAACCAGACTCAGAACCTTGCTCTTCCTTTGAACCTCTCTGACCCTTTCCTTAAGCACTGGGTTAGGTCTCAACTTAACCCTCTCATTGCTCCAACTTCTGGTAATCATATCAATGCCACCTCTTTTAGGGACCCCACCACTGCTTGGCTTGGTCATGATGGTTTGTGGAGGATCCTAGTAGGTATATGAAGCTTGCACATTACATGGTCTTCTTGATTCATGCATTTGTCCATGGTGAGAGAGTGAGGGGCATATAGAGATGTGACTTAAGATATGCACAGCTTTAGATAAAAATGCAACATGCATGTGAATAGTTAGGATTAAGATTATACTACTTCTGGTTCTAATTATAAGATCTCATTTGTAGTCTACAAACGAGGTCTTATAAATAGAATAGGAGGTAGTAACTAAAATTGATAATATAAGTGAACCCATCAGTACAAATAGAGCTGGTAATACGGGCCAGCCCGTCGGTTACAAGTTGGCCCGTGGCGGGCCTGAAGACCTGTGGTTCGGTCTTTTCAGGACCACTTTCTGGCGGGCTGGGATTTTTCTAACCCAGCCTGCCAGGGTAACCCGCCAACCCGCCAATTTTTTTTTATTTTTTTTAAATAAAATTTACTCAAATTTCTAAATATCTAAAATAAAACATGCAAATATAGAAATTATAAAAAATAAAACATAGAATACAAAGTTTAAAATTTCAAATATCTCAAAATATTAAACATGATTACATAATCCATCCATCCAAAATGATATAATAAACACCCAAATTAAAACATAAATCCAAATTAACAACGGTACAACATTACAAAGTCACAAACATAATGTGTCAAGTGCTCAATCATGACTTATGACTTTTACATGGTGCGTTCCATTCAAAAAGAAAATTAAAAAATAAAATAAAATAAAACGGGCTGGCCTGCTAATCCTGTAGGTTAGTCCGCCGCGGTTACGGGCTTGGCAGTTACGAGCTCAAAAGATCCGTTTTAAAACGGTCCTAATTTTTATCAACCCAACTTGCCACTTCTTAGCGGGTTGGCGAATTGAGCCCGCAGCTTAACTTATATTAACGGCTCTAGGTACAAACAATGGGTTTGTGATAATTTGTGTCAACCTGTTAAGGTGCAAGTTATTCCAACTGATACCACCTAATCCATGTGTTGCCTAGCTTTTCTTTTTGTTTTATTTTTATTTTTCTATTTTACTTTTAATAAAGATTTTATTGTTTTAGACTTCACTTAAACATAACCTTATTTTATATTAAGAACTTCATTCTACGTTTGATTTCTGACTTTCTTTATTAATTTATGATTTTTAGATTAATAGAATAATCATGTAAATTATATTATATAATTATATTTACAATTTTTGGTATTAAATTAATTATATAATTTTATGAAAATATAAAAACAATATGAATTTAGTTTATAAAGTTGGGAAAATTGTAATAAGGTCCCACCTAAGAGAATTAAGTACAAAAATGTCTATTGAAATCATCAAATTATTTTGAAATCCCAAGTGACCTCTTTACAAGAAATTTCATTTTGTTTAATTACCAAATTGCCCTTATCTTTTTTTTTTTTAAAGTATGCTTTAACAACTAAAAGTACAGTCGTTAATAATTTAAGGTATAACGATTAACAACTATCGTGGAAGGTATTAACAACACATTTTCTTACCACTTCACACAAATGTAATGTATGAGTTATTAACATCTACCGCGATAGTTGTTAATTATTACACCTTAAGTTGTTAACGACTACTCTTTCAGTTGTCAATACATACCTAAAAAATAGGACAACTTGGTAATTAAACAAATAAAATCTCTTGCAATAAGTCCCTTTAGGACTTCAGAATAATTTGATGATTTTAAAGGACCTTTTTGTATTTAATTCTCTTATGTGTAACCTTATTACAATTTTCCCTATAAAGTTTATAATTCAATTTAAATATTTTTTAAAAAATTTGAAAATATTGAAAAGAATTTGAAAATATATAAAAAGGAGGAGGGTTGGCAGATAGGCTCAGATTGGCAAAATGTCAACTCATCTTGATGCGGGCTTTTCCATCCCCCACCACAAGCTTGACCCATCTTGGGCCAACTCGTAGTTGGCCGGCCTGTCTAAAATTTTTAATTTTGGTAAAAGTGAAAATGATCTGACAAGTCAAGTCCTAATCCCTACCTATCAAACTAAATGACTTTATCTCATATATTTTGTGTTACTTATTATATATTTTTTCCCCAAACAAGCATCATAGTCAAGTAGTAAAGAATTTTAGCTCTTCTTTATGATTTTCATGTTCTTCCTTTTAAACAAATATCTCGATGTATTTTTTTGCTTTTTCGGATATAACTTAAGTTCCTTTTGTTTATGTACTCTGTAAACTTTAAAGCTTTATATATATATATATATATATATCATTTTGTCTTTTATAAAAAATGATGGTAAAGAATTTCAACTTGTGGATAAGAAAAGATGAAAAGTGAATATCAGGTCCGTCAGAGTGAATTTCTTCACTATCTCTTATCTCCTTCATTTGATCTAAAGTCAATTGAATTCTTTTCTTTTTCTTTGACATTCTATTATGGTATTTGTAGTTTTCTTAGCATTATAAGAACTTTGATAAAGTTTATTCTGTTGTAGGGAGTCAAAGGAAGGATAGGGGATTAGCACTTCTATTCAAAAGCAAAGACTTTGTTCAGTGGGTCAAAGCCAAACACCCACTTTACTCAGCCAAACACACTGGAATGTGGGAGTGTCCTGATTTCTTCCCGGTCTTCATTAATAGTACATCTGGTGTTGAGACTTCAACACCTCATGACAATCATTTTAGGCTCAAGCATGTTCTCAAGCTTAGCTTGATTGATCTCTCTCAAGATTATTATATGATCGGAACTTATAATCAAACCCGGGATAGCTTTATCCCCGATATGGGATTCGAGGACACGGAATTATCCTCGATCTTCAGGTATGATTATGGCAAGTTTTATGCCTCAAAAACGTTCTATGATGATGAAAAGAAACGAAGGATTTTGTGGGGCTGGGTTAATGAATCCTCAGTTCGAGAAGAAGATGTTCAAAAAGGATGGTCTGGGATTCAGGTATTATTAACGATAAAAAAATTAAAATGTAAAATACATGAAAAACAAGTAATATATGTATATTTATTTAAGATGTTCAATTTTAGAAAGTTGGCGGTTGAATATTATTACAGGGGATTCCAAGAAGTGTATGGCTGGAGGAATCAGGAAAGCAATTAGTGCAGTGGCCAATTGAAGAAATTGAGAAATTACGAAGCAGAAAGCCTCTCATATGGCATTCTAAAGTGCTTCAACCAGGTGCTCTTCTCCATCTTCCTGGAATCACTGCAGCTCAGGTCAGTCACTTCAAATTAAATCACCAAAATATGTATATGTATATATGCATGTATATAATAAATAAATAGCAAAATTTCCTGCATTTTAAATATATATTAATTGTGGGAATAGTGTCATTTCAGAGGCTTGACTTCTGATTTATCTTAAAAACTGATGCGAGTTTGGTATACTGTGTATAAAATTTGATAAACAGTGTCTTGATTATGATTCATAGATAGTAATAAAAAAATCAATAATTAATAAATCAATATATCTAAGTTTATACTCTTCCAATCCTAAATATACAAAAAATACGTCTTATATTTAAAAGAGAAAGAGTAGGATTTTAGTTGATGGATAATCTTCACGTATTTATATATAAAGGCACTCATGAGGGTTGTTCTAATCTTAAGATTCAACTCATTCATTTTTATTTAAAGTTCTTCTACTGTACAAAGTAACAAAAAGAAGTCTTCTATTATAAATACAACAATAACAATAAGGCTTATCCTATTAAGTATGATCGGCTATATGAATTCTACAATGTCATTGTGCTCTATAAACTACCAAATATCAGGATACATTATTAACAAAAAAGTTTCAACTCAATGTAGTTTTATTAAGTGTTCTCCTCAGTTTTTTCTTAACTCTTTTAGAGAATTTCATACACGATCTAATCTACCCAAAATCGTTTATTGTAACTAAAAAAATAAAAAAAAATCATATAAAGCACTACCTTTAGTCTTAAATATAAGTTCTAGTTATCTAATTTGTAAATATTAAAGAAATTACTACCCCTGGTTATAAAAGCTAATTAACTAATTTGAATAAATTAAAAAAATTAGTTAAATTAGTTATTTGTCACAAATATAAGTTGACTTTCCTAAAATACTCTTTTTAATCATGATTACATTTGGATGGAAGCCTCTTGATATTTGTAATCAATATGGATACTTTATAGAGTAAATTACAAATTTGGAGAACAAAACAAATTAAGATTCTATATTTAGGACCAAATCAAATCTCCAACTAGCTGAACTACCTTGATGAATATCCCTTAATATGAATAAGGAGAGTTTGGGAAAAGAATTATAAATTTGGGAGACAAAATAGAATGAGATGTTATATTTAGGATCAAAGAAAACATCTCTACTAGCTCTTATATTTAGGATAGGAGGTAGTTATTTATAAGTTTTAGTATTACTCACTTTATTAGGCTCCATGCATGCTTGTGAAGATATTCCCACACAAGTTAGTTTGGACTTATATATATGATGAGAATGAGTTCAACAAGAAAAAGCAATGAACCAAACAATTAATTAATGCATGAGTGTGTGACACGCAATGAATATATATATATATATATATATATATATGTATATATGATGAAAATTATGGAATCACTGGGGCGTGCAGGCAGATGTAGAAGTATCGTTCGAAGTGAAAGAGTTAGCGAAAAAGGCAAAAGAGTGGAAGCAAAGTGGTGGCAAAATGAGAGAGCCACAAAAGATGTGTGGAGAAAAAAGAGGAATAGGACCATTTGGATTGCTGGTTTTGGCATCAAAAGGATTACAAGAACACACTTCTGTGTTCTTCAGAATCTTCAAACTCAACAATGATGACAATAATAACGCCACTAAGTTTGTGGTGGTCATGTGCAGTGACCAGTCTAGGTACGTTACACACCACTTGTTGAGCCTAGGAAGCAATTAGAGATACGCGCACACACACACACTTGCACGTTTATAAGTACATTGCTTTGTGTTGAATCATTTGAATGAAATGACTTATATGGGATAGGTCCTCACTGAACCATAAGAACGATTTGTCTTCTTATGCTGCTTTTCTTGATGTGGACCCTCTTCACCATAAGCTTTCACTTCGCACTTTGGTAAGTTCCACTATCTATTACCTAAATTGATAACACTCTTCTCTCTATTATGAATCATTTTTTTGTAGGAAAAAAGTTTGATCTGGAATATATACAAGTTACTTGAAGGGTTATTAATGATTGTTTTTCAATTTTACTTTTATATTTAATTTCTGTTCAAAAGAGAGAAAGAGGAGAAAGAGACATGGGAATGATTTGTAAATAAAAAGAGAGGAGAAAAATTAATAAAGAAAAATTTGAACAATTTTATCAATTTAAAATATATTTAATGCTTAATAGTCATTCCCTTGATACATGATAATAAGTTACAAGTGACTTATAATACCTAGGGACTGGAGTGAGATTTTTAAACTTAAATAATTCAAGAGTGTCATATCTTATTTATAAAAATGATACAGATCATATTTCCTACACCATTGTCATAACAATCAGTATAAAAGTCACCAATGTTTTGTTTTACTAGTTGTAAAAAAGTGGGTAGAATATAGGAGAAAGACAGATTGATTTCAAAAGTCAATTTATAATAACAGGTACATCTAAAACAATTTTTTTTAAAAGATGAGTTGCAAAATCCTTTCACACAATTAGAATTTTTTTCTGATATTAATTACTCTTCCTGTCCTTAATATAGGACCCAATTCTTGAGTTGGTTTTGGTCTTAAATATAAGACTCATTTTTCATATTTATCAATTTTCTCTAAATTACTCCTATGGATACTCCCTCAACCATAATCAAGTAGAAGAGGGAGAGGGGTATTAAGAAAGATGATTATGGTGTTTTAGGAAAACATGTTACATTTCTTATAATTAACTAACTTACCTAACTTTCTTAATCTAATTAAATTAGTTAAATAGGTCTTATATTAAGTACCAAAGGAGTATTATTTTTTTAAAAAAATCTAAGTCATATAAATTTTACCTTCACAGTCTAAATCAGTTGGGTATATTTTATGTTCTAAATATATATGTGCAATTACTTTTCTTATCTATAGAAGTTCTTGGGTTGATGTTTGAAAACTCAATTATGTATATATTTGTAGATTGATCACTCAGTGGTAGAAAGCTTTGGAGGAAAAGGACAAGTGTGCATAACAGCAAGAGTATATCCCACTTTGGCAATCAATGATGAAGCTCAGTTGTTCGTTTTCAACAATGCATCTTCCAATCTCAAGCTCACAACACTCACTGCTTGGAGTATGAAGAAAGCACGTGTCAATTCCGTGAAGATATAATTTATCTGAATAATAGCAGTACTCTTTATTTTGATTTGGGCTATCTAATTCCAAGTTCATTCCAACATGAGTTAATTTAGGGTATCACATATATGCTATATTTGTAATTTCAATTATAGTATTGCAAGGGCACGTTATTTAATTAATTAGAAATCACTCCCGAGAATGAATAATACACACCCATTAACCAGGTCAAGAATGGTGATGAGTACAATAAGGCCTTCTAAACATTTATCTATGTACCTTAGGGCTTGTTTGGAATAGGTTATAAATAGCTTTTCAATTATAATTTATGGAATACCATGTAAGTATGTGAGGAAACTTTTGTTTCAGTTTACATGAAGTGCTTATATGTATTTAGAATTAGTAGATGCAAATAATGTCACACCTCTCTTTATAACCCATTATATGTCAATTGGAACTATTATAACGTGTTTCGCAGTATTTCCGGATGAAAAATTTCAGTTTCGAAATTTTACCCTTAATTTTGTCCGTACATTATTTATCCGAAAATAGGCTAATTTTGAAAATTCATAACTAATTCTAGAAAAATCAAACGAGGTGGTTCCAACTTTCACACGAAGCTTGCTAAGAATTCTGTAGAGAAAAAATTTCATTAGACTCAATTCCATCCATAAAAACACCAGAAAATTTGACAAATTGCACTGTTTATTTGATTAATTTTCTAATTTTCAGTATTTTTGTTCAACTTTGAAAGGACATAACTCTTAGCACAAAACTCTAAATTTAATGGTTTACCACTTTATTTAAATCTAAAAATGAGATCTATAAGCCTGTAAAATTTCATGCTCAAATTCCAACAATTGCTCATTATTTCATGTGCCACAAGTTTGGCCTCTTTTAGGGAGTTTTTATCCCCTAACTTTATTTCCTTTATTACTTTTCTGTTTTTCCTTTTTCCTACACTCTTTTAATATTGCACCATTCAGAATTTTAGCATTTGAGCATGTCATACAAACATAATTATATCATATTATCATCTAAAATCCATTTCAAACTTGGCATAAAGTTAGATAATACATCACATAATGTTCCAAAACAATATGACATTTGCAAAGCTCTTCTATCCCAACACCAATTCATTGCCTTGATCCATAGTTGAGCCACTTCCTAAATGAGACATAATTTGACATAGGAGGAATGAGATTTTCATGAAATCTCAGTAGCATTTGAATTACAATTATCATACAAATCAAGCAAGTTATCATGTGACATGTTATCATACCTCAAGGCATAATCAACCACATAAAATCATGCTTAATGCCATACTAAAAGAGGGACATCAACACTTCCACAATGACATAATTCAATGCATTTGGCCAAAGCATAAACCAATGTTATTCAACCAATCTATGTCACAACACAAGTTCCTCCATTCAAGCAAACAACAAATCACATTAAACAAGCAAGATTAACAATCAAATTATAATTCAAAGCTACCTTTTTAATACTTGTCCAATTGCTTACTCCAAGAACAAAGCTTCCTCTTGGTTCCTCTTCACAATGCCTATTAAACCAAGTATAAACACAGGCCATATTAATCACTAAACACTTAATTACAACTCTTAAACTTTAACTCAATAATCCCCTCCTTTTTCTTTGATTTTTAACCATATGATTTCTCCTTTAGAATCAATAACCTCATGACCCATTCCTACACAATTTTTCATGAGGAATCCAATGGTGCAATTAGATTTTTAAAATTCAAACTCCTCCCCCATGAATAGTGACTAGCCGAATAGGGGGTTATATATTTCCAAAAATTTCATTTTTGATTCCAATGATTTTAATCATTTTCCAACAATATATCCCTACACAAAAATATGTTTTAAATCCATTGGAATCATCAAATCAAGCCAAAACAATCTTCTACCCCATGAACAGTACCAGGCTGAAATGAAGAACCAAAACCCTAGGTGCAATTTCTTCCAAAAACTCAACCATACACCATTTAATCATGCTTATTCCACTTGATTATTAAGGTTTCTATCCTTTCCTAAGGATCACAAGGTCCAGCAAAATTTTGACAGTATTTTCCTTAATTTTTCAAGCTAAAAACCTCAACCAACCAAGCTTGAAACTTAGGAATAGGAAGGCATAAGCATACCTTAATATTTTCTTGGTGTAAGTTGAATGATTCTTTGTCCAAAACCCTCAAGATTTTTGGTTGGTGAGTGCTGGAAGCAACGTGACAGAACCTCCCCTTGTTTTTCTATTTTTCCAACATTTTTTTGTATTTTAGGAGAGGGTATTTATAGAAAATCTGATCTTCCCTTCCCCTCCCTTAATTGGATGAAATTTTGGACACCTCAAGGGTGTATGTGGCATTCATCAAGTGCCAAAATAATCAGATCATCACAAGTGGCCTTAATCTAGATTATTCCACACAAATATCCCTTAATTTCACATTTTATTTAATAAAAATAGAGGGACCTGGAAACTATACAAAATTGGGCCCTTATTGGCCTCAATGTGGGCCCCACAAAAGGTTTGGGCTGGTCCAAAAAGATGTCCTACAAACCAAATCATTATTTCAAACCAATTTGAAACTTTATCGATTACTATTCACTAGTAACATTCCATAATTTTTTGAGACCTCCAAAAATTCATTTCTCTCCATGATAATTAACATTTTAATATGAAAATATTATCTGAAAATTTTCAGAACTTTTTGCCACCTCTAGGTATTTATTTTGAATTTTCTCCGATTAGGCCTCTATCGGTAATTTAGAGGGAAAATAAATTCCTTAAAATTAATTCCTGAGCTTCCAAGGCCTAAAACTAATTTTATAAATTCACATAAATATTTAAATGAATTATATTTCTTTATTCCAAATTTATTGAGGCCTCCAACTACTTAAAATAATTATTTTTCTTCAATTCCCCAATAATTTTTCGAAAAACCTTCGTTTACGGAAAATTCCATAATAATTTACTTTCACCGTAAATTCACCTTTCGGGTCTCAACTGAGTTCCCAAAACTTCCAATTCACACTTTTCTCATTTTTCAGGAATTTTCTTGAATTTTTCTCAAATTTTCCCGTTTTGCTCTTCCTAGACCGATCATTATGAAAATACCAGTCCGGACCTTATCGGGGTTTTCACATCAAAAGTTGTTTCATCTCCCTGTCTACTTTCTACATTGACTCTCATCCCAATTTTTAATTGTTTATAGCCAAGTGAAAATTTTTGGGATGTGACAAATAAGCCCTAAACTCTTAAGATAACACATGAGATGATAAGGATTATGTTGGTGGGGATAGAGTCTCCCTAACACAATTAAACTGTGAACTAAGACCACTTTTATAAAAAATTTTAGGGTCACAAACTAACTAGATGATTGAGAAATATAACTAATGTCATAGAGGTGAAAATGGCATATCGGATTGAAGAATCAAAATTTTAGGGTTTCACGCTTCAATTGAAGTAACATTGGCTTACTTTGCTCAACGAATAAAAAGACAAGAAGCAATATTGTTTGCAATCTTGGGCTTTACTTGACTGGAGCAAGAATTTAATGAATTTGACTACTATTTTGGCCCAATTAACCTAAGCTAATGATGCCATGTAAACAATATGATGTATTTGATAATATCTTGAATAGAATTGTTTCTAATAGAATGAGATGACACTTGTGCCTAGAGAAAAATCAAAATATGATGAATATATTTCACTAATCAATCCGACAAATGATGATAACTACAATAACAAGTTGCCTCCCATTAGGTGGGGATACAACATGAGACTCTTCAACTCATGAGTCCTATTTCTATTGAAGAGATTGAGCAAACTCTATTTAATTTGCCAAAGAATAGTGCTCTCGGGTTAGATGAATTTCGTGCCATCTTTTTTCAAAATCATTGGAGCCTAATTCAATAAGATATTGTAAAGATGGTTAGACACCTCTTGAAAATATGAACAAATGCTAACCTTGTTAAATTAGAGTATCATTGTCCTGATTCCAAAGTTTGATAGAGCTTACAGGTATAGGCAATTTTCGACCAATCAATGCAACACTACTTACAAACTCATTTCCAAAGTTTTGTGTTATAGGCTCAAAGTTCCCCTTGCCATGCACATTGCTCTAAACCAAAGTGCCTTTTTGAAAGGTCAACTAATTTTAGACAACATTATGCTAATTGCTGAACTATTATCACAAGTTCATTCCTTAGGCACGACAAAAAAACAACAAATTAGTGACAGGATTTCCACCACTAATCAAAATTAGAGATGGAATTTAGTTAGCAATGAAATTTTTTTCATCACTAATTATTTAGTCATGGAATTCAAAATTCTGTTGCTAATTACTGATGGATTAGCACTAATTAGTAACGGATATTTTGTTGAATTCTATCAAAAAATAGTGACAGATTTGTGACAAAAATTTCTATCACTAATCCGTTCCTAAATTTTTTATTATGTAAATTTAAAATGCCGTGTAGCAACCACTGACTGCCGCCACGTGTGTCATACTGGTGACCACCTCCTTACTTTCTCTCCCATGTCGCCATGTGTCCGTGATGCCACCTCACCACTATTGTTGACATTTGTCAATCATTGTGAGCTACCGCTTCAACGTCTTGTCCATGTTATCACCACATCACAAATTGAGCTGTGAAGGAGTGGTTGTTTGAACTCGGGACCTCTTGTGCGCATGTTGAAGCTTTTGCTAGTTGAGTTAAGAAACACCTGCAAAATATTTATGCAAACATAAATATACATAATATTGCTAGTGATAAATACAAATATATGTAATAAATATTATATTTATAATTTCATATATTTTTATTTATTTCGATTTATTTTTTATATTTTAGTAAAAATAACTAATAATTAATATTTTTATTTAAACATTTAATAAAATAATAAGTATATTATATTTTTTATTTTTTATAATATTTGTATTTTTATTTAGAGATAGTATATTATAAAAAATTATCACATATTATATTTTTATTTAATAATAAATATTAAAATTAGTGACAAAATAGCAATGAAAATTAGTAATAGAGTTTTTCTATCACTAATTCCATCACAACATGTTTTATGATAGGGGTTAGTGACATATTAATAACAGAAATTAGTGACAAAAACATTTTCATCACTAATTTCTGTCACTAATCCTTTACAGCATAATTAGGGATGGATTAGTAATAGAAATTAGTGATGAAAATTTTACATTACTAAATTCTGTTGCTAATTTTAAGGACAAAATTTGTGACGAATTAATGACAGATGGTAGGAAATTAATAGCTCTAATGTAAACTTCTCAAAGGCTTTTGATAGGTTCTCTTGGTCTTTTATAGGGCATAGTAATGACAAAAATGAAATACACCCAAAAATGGATAAACTTAATTCATCAATGTATCTCTATAGTGCAGTATCAAATTTAAGTAAATGGTCAGCTCACATATGTAATC